TTAATTATAACATAGTAGCTTCCAGTACCACTTTACCACGATATCATTTAATCAATATGTAGTAAGTTCCGGTATCACATTATTCATGTGGTAACTTTTGGTACCATTTCATTTCTCCATCAATTTGGAGAATTTATCAGCTGTTTTTCCAGGATCAGTTTAGTCCATATAATGTCCGTTCACAACAAGGACTTTAATTAACTTTCATATAGCCAGATACAAAGTGTAACGCCCCGTTACTTTTAAGAGAAAATGACATTTTATTTTTTCGAAAATTGGAGTCTAATTATTCAAAAATCAAATTAAAGATTTATTTAACGGGCGTTACTCGAAAAATCACATAACAATCATTCCAAACATACATATCTCATGCCAAACAATAACATTTATACAATCATATGAAATACTCAAATCAAATTCAACATGATCAATTTATCCAACTCCAAAGTCATAACAATAATTCAAATCCCAAACAAGAAATTTAGAATCCCAAATAACATATTCAGTCTCCAAACGGAAATAAACAAGTCTAACATGAGATAATCAAATAATAATAATATAGCGGAAGCAGGTAAAAAGCAGTTCAACACAAATAATGACACTGCCTCGCTTGTCTTTCGCCACGGCCACCAGCTCAACCTGAAAGATGGTTAATAGTGGGGGTGAGCAACTTAGCTCACCATACCATGCAGTATAATCAATATAAAGACTTAAAATCATGGTCGCAGCATGTAAGCAAATCGGCTAGTCTATCCTCCCTCAACCCAGCCACTTATGTGATCACACCTAATCCTATCAATCTAAAACCAGATAGGTATAGCCGCCACGCAAGGACGGGAGCCGTCAATATAACCAGAGACGGGAGCAACTGCAGATGTAACCTGCACACGGACTAAGCTCTCTAAAGGCTAGAATTAGGCCTCATAGACTACCGGTTCACATGCATACCTAGAACACCAAGCCAAGCATTTATAGAAATTAACATACATGGTATTTAAATCAACTCCCATATGTTCAGTTTGGAAGATTTATCACAGTTACGGATGTAGATTGGCTGAGGCTCGACTCCTCAGATACCTACAATTTATTCAAGATAATATTTTAAAAATACTTATCTTGAAAATCAGGAATTCAAACGAGAATTCATACTTAGTCGAAAAATCGTCAACTAAGTAGCTAAAGAGATTTTGTGGAATTTGGAACCCTCAGATTTTTAAGAAATAATTTGAAAAATCATTTAAAATGGCAAAAAACGGATTCTACTCAAAAAACAGGGTCAAAGGGTAAAAAATTGGTCAACCGAGTCAGGAATTATAAAATCGAGTTCAAACGGACCGGGTCGGTGCGGTTCGGTTCATGCGGGTGCAGCCGAACGCAGACTGGGGCTTCTGGGCACATGCTGGCGCGGGCAGACTCAGACCGGCTCTCCTGGGCACTGGCAGGGTGCAGGTGCAGGTGCGCAGGACACGGCCCCGGGTCACTGGTACATGTTGGGGCATGGCACTGGGTTGCTGGAGTGTGCAGGGCACGGTGCAGGGGCATTGAGCACGTGTACGGACCGAATTAAATTATGAAATTTTTACAGCATGTAAACAAATAAGTGAAGCATCTCCACTTCAAAATTCAACTCAAAAGCTCGGATAAATTATTTTATGTGATTTTTTCATAAATACAGGGTTAAACCAACTTTAAAAATCAAATAGGCCATTAAATCAAAATCCAATTTGATCAACCAACTCCAGATCACTTAATCACTTCTTAAGGGTCCCAAATCCACATTATTTCACAAGTTTACACGGATCTAACACATATACATCAAATATCATTAGATCCAACAATTAAATCACATAAATTGAAACCCTAGCATATGGATCCATGTGATTCTCATCAAGGCTCATCAAATACTCATCATAACAGAGGGGATCAGCCAATATTACCTTTCATCAAGGCTCATCAAATACTCATCATATTTTGTTGCACGTGCCTTACCACCTGGCCATTCCATATCACTAGCTATTAATACACTGACTGGTCTATTTTGCCGCTCAAGCCTTTAATCGTATTTTCTGTTGCCGGTGGCTACACTGCTCGGCCATCTCACGTGATCATTCATAATATTTCGATCAACATTTGACCCTTCGGCTACCATTAAATATTTCTTGCCGGCGGCACAGCCTCACTGACTGATTTATGTAGTCACACATACTTATTGTTTATATCACAAGGATCAATCCATAAATATCCACATGTCCATGTAAATAATTTTCGCAATAACAAATTTTAAGCATTTTATAATCATATAATATAGTAAACCATATCAAAATTGATCTTAAATTGAAATTATCATTAAATATAGTTGTATGCATTTAATAAAAACATATTTCAATAATCCTTATCTTTTATGCTTGGAAAAACACGATTTTACAATTAAATCAACCAAGTAAATATTTCATCAATTTTTTCTTTTGGGTGCAATTGATCTCCACCGTATTTGTTTTACATGAAATGACCACAGAATGGACAAATACTGAATGGGATTTTTTAACCCAAACCAAAAAATAAATAAATAAATAAAGTGGACTAAAATAAAAAATAAAAAGGTGTGGACAAATACTGAATGGGATTTTTTCTGAGAATACGTTTTATTATATAAAACGCATTCTCAGAAAACGTTTTAATGTCAACTAAATTAATTATGTAATTAAGTTAATTAAATCAAATTAAAACGTATTTCAAAAATACGTTTTATAAGAAAATTAATTTTGTAAATAATTTATTGTAGAAAATAAATTTAAAACAGATTTCAGAAATATGTTTTATAAATAAAATTAATTTTTTAAATATTTGTCATAAAACGTATTTTCGAAATACGTTTTACTTTACCCTAAAATTAATTTTGCCATAATAAAGTATTTTCGAAATACGTTTTATGTTTGACATAATTTCGCCCTAACCCGTATTCCCAGAATACGTTTTATAAATAAAAAAAAATATAAAACGTATTTTAAGAATACGTTTTACTGTGCAGCAACAGTAACTGTGCGGAAAAAATAAAAAAACACACTTGTTTGTCGGGATCAATTCCACAACCAAATATTAATTCCACAAACTAATATCAATCCATTTGCCAAATAATAATCTAACATGCATACAAAAGTCAACCACAATAATTTGTTCAAAATATATATATGTCCAAATATCAGTACACAAAATCTAAGAAAAAAAAACAAAAATGTCCGCAAATATCCCCGAATACAATACAAACTAACTAGAAGTGTATGGATAGGTTTGCGTTGTCGGGTTCCCATCCGACGTCGTGGTGGTCGTGAAGAAGACGGGGTTGTGGGCGTGGCAGCTTCTTTTCTTCTTCACCTGAGTAATTCATTTTTTAAAAAAATCAGAAATTCGACTTGACAAAAAATAAATAAATAAATAATTAAAAAAATCATATTTTTGTTAAGTAAAAAATTCTCACCTTCTTCTTCTTCCTCAGGCCCGGTGTTGGCAGCGGGTTCGCGGGCAAGTCGTCTTCTACCTCCACCAATGTGGGCAGCCGGTCGATGCCTCGCCCGGTGCGACTGCGTTCTCTGGGATCGGACGTAGCTCTCCTGAGATAGAACTTGACTCGACGACGTCCCTTGCGTGACCTCTTGGCCTCCAACAGTCGGAGAAGTGTAGAGAAGGTTTTGGGACTGTCGGATTGCGGCAGGCGCCTGTGGAGGGAGTGTATGAAATATGTCTCGCTAACGAGTTAAAAGCCCCCTCCATGGCTTGAGCCTGAAAATTAAATTCAAAGTAATTAGTATGAAACATCATAAAATAATAATAATAATAATAATAATAATAATAATAATAATAATATTTTTAATAATAATAATAATAATAATAATAATAATAATAATAATAATAATAATAAAACCACAAATTATGAACACTTACATCACACTTCTCCCGCTCGACAAGTGGCTGATAGCCACCGTCCTGTTGGACCACCGTGTACTTGGCGGGGTCACTGATGAGTCTCACAGTTCTACTGTGAAACCAATCAATATAACCCGCCTCAGGCTATAGGAAGTCCTCCACAAAGTAATCTGGGAGGACATTTTGGTCTCTTTGTTCAGTCCAAGCATTTCCAAGCTCCGAATGAAAGGCGGCCCAATCATTGAATGCCCTCCCAGTCATTCCCTGACCTCTGTGGTGTTTCTCCCACTCGGCCTCACCCGTAGTCATCAGAGTGTCGGGGATGGACTGATGACACCCAAACTGGCGGTGGACCCTATCAGGCTGGTGGGGTTCACGGATGTTCCAACAGAAGATCCACCCCCTATACATCCAGAGATGTGAACCTTCTGTACACTGGGCCGGGAGAGTACCAGCATCAAGGTACTGGTCATACGGCACCCAATCAAACTATATACAATATACTATAAACTATATACTATAAACTATATACCACAAACTATATACTATATATACTATAAACTATATGCTATAAACTATAAACTATAAACTATAAACTATATATACTATATACTATATGATGTATGTTATAACTATATATACTATATACTACTACATACTATAAACTATATACTATATACTATATACTATATACTATATACTATATACTATATATACTATATACTACAAATTATAAAATATAAACTATATACTATAAACTATATACTATAAACTATGAACTATAAACTATATATACTATATACTATATACTATATACTATAAACTATATACTATAATCTATAAACTATATATACTACATACTACATATTATAAACTATATACTATAAGTTATATACTATATACTACAAACTATATACTATCATTGCCCTCCCAGCTACTTCTCTCAACTAGTCCTCTTCCCTCTACAACTCCCCAGCGAAGAAAAATAGAGTGCGGCGAAGCGCACGTCACATAAACAAAAAATGATTTGTACTCTCATTTGGAACATACGAGGCATAGGTAATAGCCTCGCAAAAAAGATGACCAAAACTCTCATTAAGGATCACAAACCTAATCTCTTTGCCCTCATCGAGCCGAAGATTGCCCTAGACTCCCAATACTTCTGTAGATTATTCAATCTCCATCAAGTCGTCCAAAATACCAGCAATCACATTTGGCTCTTCTGTGACCATAATTGCCAAATTCAAATTCTTCACTCCTCTCGTCAACTCCTCCACGTGAAAGTTTCTTCTCCTCTTTCCCCCACTCCCTTCATGCTTTCTATCGTCTATGGAGAACACACTCGTCTCCCCCGCCAAGACCTTCGGGCAGACCTCCTCGAAGTTTCTGACCATTCCCTCCCTTGGATGGTCGGAGGCGATTTCAACATCATCCTTCACCCCCATGAAAAGAAAGGTGGAGCCCCACCAATTCAATCCGAACTAGAGGATTTCCAGGAAGCCCTCCTCGATTGCGATCTCTCGGACGGTGGCTATTCGGGATCCCCCTACACATGGTACAGGAACAACATCTGGCAGAGACTTGACCGGATCCTTTTTTCTTATTTGTGGTTCTCCTCCTTCCCTTCCTCCTCCATTTCGCACCTCGCTCGTCACCAGTCAGACCATAACGCTTTGCTCTGTAAATTTAAACCCGCTTTCTGCCAAACTTAAACCATCCTTCCATTTTCAGAATATGTGGACTCGGCACTACCTTTTCCTCCAGGTAGTCAAAGACTCTTGGTCCATCCCATCCCCTTCTTCTGGCCTCAACAAGCTTCTTCATAAGCTCGCCAGGCTTAAGCGTACGCTTAAAGCCTGGAACAGGAACACCTTTGGGAACATCTTTGCTCGCGTCGTCCAAGCCCAGTCTGAAGCCTCCGAAGCGGAGAAGCTTTTCGATCTTGACCCCTCTCCTACCTACCTTACTAACCTTAAGCGCCTCAACGCTATCTTAAACCTCACCATTTCCATGGAGGAAGATTTCTGGAAACAGAAAACTAACCTCAAGTGGAACTTGGAAGGTGAACGTAACACCAAATTCTTCCATGACTTGGTCAAAAAGCATCGCCACAAATCCACCATTCATAGCATCACGGACTGAGGCTCTTCGATCTCGGACCCTTCCCTTATTCAAAAATCCGCCGTTGACTTCTTTTCCAATCTCTTCTCTGACTCCACGCCCATTCTTGATGATCCTGGCCAAGGGATCATCCCTCCGATTATCTCGGATGTAGATAACACTACCCTCTGTTCCCCCCTTCTATCGACGAACTCAAGTCGGCTGTCTTTGACATGGATGGCAACAGTGTTGCCGGCCCGGATGGGTTTAATTCCACTTTCTATAAGACTTGCTGGGACATCATCGCAGATGACGTCTTGGAAGCAGCCACTGACTTTTTTCGAGGCACCCCCCTCCCTTTAGCGTACACCGCCACTACCATATCCCTTATCCCTAAAACTCCGTCGCCTTCTTCTTGGAAAGATTTTCGCCCTATCAGCCTCTGCAACACCTCTTATAAGATTCTTTCCAAGATGCTCAGCCTTAGACTCAGTCACCTCCTCCCCTCTTTGATTTGTCTGGAACAATCTGCCTTCATTAAAGGTAGACTCATTACCGATAATATCCTTACCACTCAAGAGGTCGTTCACGACTTCCCCGTATCCCCTTCTAACCTCATGATCAAAATTGATTTGGAGAAAGCCTTTGATCGGCTGAATTGGAATTTTCTCTACCAGACTCTTTCCCTCTTCGGCTTTTCCCCTAACTTCGTTCACCTTATTAAAAATTGCATATCCGACTGTAGGTTCTCTATCCTCATTAATGGCACCGCGGCTGGTTTCTTCCGCTCTCATAGAGGTATTCGCCAGGGAGACCCCCTATCCCCCCTCCTATTCGTTCTGGCTACTGACTACCTGTCCAGAAGCCTCAACCAAACTTTTAACTCCAATCCCAACATGTATTTTGCTCAACGCAAAAATGCCCATATTTCTCATCTTATCTATGCCGATGATATCCTCATCTTCTCCCAAGCATCTCACCGCAACCTTCACCTCCTTTCTCAGACTCTCGAACGGTTCGAAAATGTCTCGGGCCAAAAAGTCAGTTCTCATAAAAGTCGTTTCATTCTTCACAATCCCTCCCCCCATCTTGTTGAGCGTGTCCACCGCTTAACTGGTTTCACTCAAGCCAACCTCCCCCTCCAGTACTTGGGAGCCCCTCTTTGGAAGGGTAACCAGAACCGAGACCTTTATAATGACCTTCTCTATAAAATCTCTTCTCGCATTAGCTCATGGAACCACCACATCCTCTCTATTGGTGGTCGACTAGAGCTAATAAAATCCACCCTCATCTCCATCCCCTTCTATTGCCTTCAGGTTCTTAACCCCCCCAGAACGTCATCATTTCTATTGAGAGGTGTTTCAATTGCTTCCTCTGGGGCTCCAACGATGATCGTAGAAAACTTCATTGGGCAGCTTGCATCGCCTTTGCTTTCCCACGGAAGAAGGAGGTTTTGGTTGTCGTAACGTCCAGGATCTCGTCCGCACCACTGAGGTCAAACTTTGGTGGCGGCTTCGCTCTACTTCTAACATTTGGACCAACCTCATTCTGTCCAAATATTGCCCTAGACTCCACCCCATGGAGGTTAAACGTAACCCTGCAGACTCTCCCACCTGGAAGCGGCTCTGTAGCATCCGTACTACGGTCGATCCGTGGATTCACTGGCTCACCGGTGATGGCAATATTTCTTTTTGGCATGATCGATGGTGCCAATATAGTCCCCTATCCTCTCTAGCCACCCATACCCGCTCTAATCTCCTTGTCCGTGAGGTTTGGAACGGAACTGGGTGGAACATCCCTCTCCTTCAGACCCTTCTCCCTTCCCACGTGATTGACTCTATTACCGTCTTCCCCACCCACCTCCCCTCCTCTCCTCCCATTTGGAAACTCTCATCTAACGGCTCTTTCTCCTTTAAAAGTGCCTGGCAAGCCATCCGTACCCCTCGTTCCCCTAACCCTATCTTCCGGCACATTTGGAGTTCCCTTTTTACCCCTACCATCTCTACCTTCATGGTCCGCCTCCTTTCCTTTTGGATCTCCACCCCAGATGGCCTATTCGGAGGGGAATCAGTGCTTCCATCCCTTGCTTCTGTTGTGAGGATATGGAATCCATCCCTCACCTTTTCCTCCTCGGCCCAGTTGCCTCAGCAGTATGGGTCGATTTCTACTCTCTCGCCGTTATCCCCCAAATATCCTCCGACAGCATTTAAACCACTCTCTCCCACTGGTTCAATTTTGGGACTGGCAAGTCCCATCTATTCCACCTCATTCCCATTCTTATCCTTTGGTACCTCTAGTGTTCCCGCAATGACAAAAGAGTTAAACAAATCCCCTTCACTGCTCAACGCGTCTGCGATCGAGTTTGGAAACATCTTCAACTCATCGCCAATTCTTCCCTCCTAGAGGAGTCCTCCTGTTCTCGAGCCCCTCTATTGAGCCATCTTCGCTCCCCTTCCTTCCGGCCCCATCGTCGCCAGAATCGCCCTCGTATGCAGATTATCAGATGGACCACCCCCCCTGTCGGCATGTTGAAGATCAATACAGACGGAGCCTCGAAGGGTAACCCCGGAGAGGCAGGAGCAGGTGGCCTTGCCAGAGATCATAGAGGCAGACCTATTTTTGCGTTCCACGACTACATCGGAGTTCAGACCAGCACCATTGCAGAGCTCCATGCTGTTTGGAGAGCATTATCACTATGCCGGGACTTGACTTATGACCAGGTTTGGATTGAGCTTGACTCTGAGGTTGTTATATCACTCCTTACGACGACCCTCGGCGGCGGCTGGCGGGAAAGAGACCTCATCAGAAGATCAGAGCTCTATCAGATACCCTTGACGTCAGCTTCACCCACATCTACCGTGAGGGTAATAGTGCCGCCGACTACCTCGCAGGTTCTGCCTGCCGAGCCCGAGACTTTGTGCTATATGACGTCGCAGACTTACCTGGACCCCTTAGGGGCATCATCAAGATGGATTTAGAGTATCCCAGCATCAGACATCCTCATGACGACATCATACCACAGGGCTGACGCCCATATTTTTAGCCAGCGAGAGATTCCATCTCCCTCCTTAGCTGGCCTGACTTCACCTTCACCCTCGGATTATTTTCCTTCTTCTTTTCTTGTTAGGGCACCTTTTGTTAGAGGTCCCAATTTTTCTCTTGAGTCGACTAGGCTTTGTAGGGGATTTGCCACCCCATTATTGACAAAAGTGATTTGGGCTTTGTAGGGGATTTGTCCCCCCGAACATAGGCTTTGTAGGGGATTTTTCACCCCATCACCTTTCCCCTCAAGCGCGAACCTTCAACCATTTTTTTTATATGTAAAACGTATTCTTAGAATACGCTTTAGATTCAATAATATGTTTTAGATTTTTTTTAAATAAAACGTATTTCTATAATATGTTTTAAACTGTAAGTTAAAAAAAATAAAAAAATAAAAAAAAAAAACTAGTTTTTTCCATTCTTTAACTAAAAAAAAACCTGTTTTAAAACAACCAACTAAACCAAAATTACACTAACAAATCAATTAATTTACCCTAAATACCATCCAAATAAATCCAAATGAATCATCCAAACATATTCAAATAAAATAAACCATCCAAAACAAAACAAAATAAACAATCCAAACAAATCCAAATGAACCATCCAAACAAATCAAAATAAACACTAACAAATCTAGTTTTCCCACACATGACGAAGTCTAGACTGATGTGAGGATGGACACTCATCCACAACATGCTTTGGATCACCGCATCTAGCATACTGTCCCCTATCATTTCTGCGGTGTGCCCGACGATCCATTTGCATGTGATAGCGTCTCGTTTGCACGCGACCGGGTCCAGGCTTCGAGATGATCCTCTCCCAATGTGGTATCAAATTCCATCCGACAGGCGCCCATGTATCTGGATTACTAATTGGGCAAAACTCCAATTAGGAAATTGAGCTACCCAGGTCGCCGTCCAAAAGTGCTCATAGTACAACAACTTTAGGTCATCCCCAATGAAACGACAGACAACTATTGCATGAGAGCATGGTTTCCTATGTGTCTGCCACTTCTAACAAGTACAACGTTTTCCGTGGTAATCAACCTTATACCTGTATTTCCCAGTGATTTATATATATAAAAAATCAAAAATTTGAATGGACAAATAAAAAAAAAAAAAGAGACCATATACTTACTTGTTTTGCACTCTTCCACTAGCCCGTAGACCAGTTTCCACCCTGTACATGGATCTGTCGGTGTCCATACATCGCACACTATGAGTTGCGGTTGTCTGCTCCAATTGCAAAAATCTCAAATAGTGCTCCCTAGCAATGGGACTCCTGCATCTCTTGGACTTGTTTTGTTCCTGTTCAAACAAATCCAGAGTTTTGTGAAATGTGGCGCCTACCAAAGCTTTGGATGGCAGGAATCTAACCCATTTTAAGACGTTGTTGTAACTCTCTGATATATTCGTTGTCAATGTGCCCCATCTACGTCCTTCATCTCGAAACAGGGCCCACTTGTTCAAAGGAATTTGGAAAGGGTATTTGTGTGCTTCGGGATAAAATTCATTGAGTCGCTGTTTTTTCTCCTGACACTTTCGCTTTGACACCTGCGAACCCAAATCCCAACACCAATTCCGGATTTTCTTACTCCTGAACCTAGTCACCACGTTGCTTCGAAGGTGTCGAAGGCAAATCTGGTGATACACAACTGGTTCTTGCCAATATTCCAACGATTCAATGGCACTGAGTATGCCATTATCCCTGTCAGAAAGAACGCAGATCTCTCTTTCGAAGACAACATATAGCCGCAGATTCCTAAGGAAAAATGACCAACTATCCATGCTTTCTTCATCGAAAATCGCATACGCAATTGGCTATAGCCGCTTATTTGCAGTATGTGCTATAGCCACAAGCAATTTTACCTTGTATGATCCACGCAGATGTGTGTCATCGATGCTAATAACCGGCGGGCACATTTGGAAGGTTTGAATGGCGGGACCAAATGCCCAAAATACAAATTTGAATTCTCTGTCTGGAAGTTGTCGCGCCATTTCCTCACCCTGCCAATCCCACTGTACAACTGTGGTGGGATTCGCTCTTTGAAGCGCGGAAAAATACCTGCACATAACAAAATGGTTTCATAAATATATAAACATAGTGACAGACAAACAACACATATATTTCTAATTAATTTTTGCTTTCTGAGGGAGTTCTACGAAGTTCAATTCCCAACTGCCATACACATGATCGATGGCTTTTTTCCTTCCGTGCCATGCCTTCTTGTAGCTGACATCGACTTTCCAACATTGTTTCACATCAGCCTGGATCATGCTAACACTGTACTCTAGTTTCTTTTGAATCTTATTAATTGAAAGATTTGAAATCATTGGGCGGTTACATTTTTGTGGTCATTTCTTTCGACTCGTTGCATACAAGTCTGTCTATTAGTCCATTCAGTTAATTCCCACAATTCATGAACCCGTTTGGACTTTGTCACCCGAGCCTTCCACACACAAGGTTCATCTTCATTAGATCTGCAGACCACTTTGTATGACTTTTTATTCGAATCATTTGTCCGAATCTACCTCAACCTATCAAACGTTCCAAGCCAATATACCCGCTTGTGTTTCTTCCTTGCTCCTTAAAACTGTACCCAAACGTATGGTCTCAATGTCGCCATTCCAGAGTGGAAGAGCATACTCGTTTTCATCTATCTTGGACGGCTACCATTCACCCATCTCGCGGTATATGTGGCGACCACCACTAGGAAATCGGTGTTCTTCTTCAATGAACTCGGGTTCACTCTCCTCATTTACCGGTCTATCTGGCTCGGTTTTTGAGGTCTCGTCTGTGAAATCATCTTCACAGGGAATGAAATTTTTATCACTTTTTTCCCCGTTCACATTTGCCTATTCTCTCATTGTTGAGTTTCTCCCTTCTCCAAAATAACGTAGAAGAGAAGTCGACGTACCCTCAACATCAACCACTCCCCCATAACAAGGAGTAACATCCTTAAACTGTGTAACCGGTGTAATTAGCTCCAACGATAAATGCAAATACACAATGGACATAGGAGAAAAGTAATAAATCCACTGAAGAGCACTATCGTTATTGAGTCTTCCGGCATTCCACGAACCATCGGGTTGACTAACCATTAAAGTAATCTTCTAAATTGTCCAATCTTTTCCAAACCGACAATTTTCATTAATCATCTCTACCAATTGTTCAATTGATATCCTCCCTGGAATAACAAATGAACCATCCAGATGATCTTTACATAAAACAAAATATCTTAACATTTCCTTCGCACATTGCCAATACAAATTAACAAAGTATGGACCGCAATACGTCATTTATACTTGTTGCAAAAAAAAAACACTTTCAATTCTTCCTAATTACAGTGACAAATAATGTCTAATTCAACACACAAAAAATTCAATTAGTCTTTTACCATTCTAAATTTAAAACCCATTTTTTTTCTCCAACGAAAAAACCAAAATAAATATTCTCAATCAAATAATCCTCCAAAACCCTAATACCAATAATAGAACAATAACATATAATTCATCTATATTTCGGATAAATTGAAAGCCCTAATTCTAACTCTAATTTCAAAAAACCCTAAGCCCGACAACAACAAACCAATAGACAATTGACAATTTACAACAAAATTCCAATCTCCAATTCAACACACACACATAATCGATAAACAATTAGCAATTCCCTATCTTCAAACACCACCACATTCAAACATACTATAGCAATTCCCAATCTCCAAACAACTCCAAACGATGTCAAAAGTTGAGATAAGCCAATATATCTCGTGCGAATGAATTAATCGGAAATGAGGCTCGTGTCGCTGTTGTCAGTTCGCACCGGGGTGGGGATGAGATGGCAGTTTTTTTTTTTCCGAATGTAATTCGCTACGCTATGCTTTCTGCTCTGCTCACTCACTCTCTCTGTTATCAGGTTCGCATAAATGTAATGGAGAAAAAGAGAATTTATTTTATATTTAATTGTCAAACGTATTCTGAATTCTATTTAATTGTAAAACGTATTCTGAGAATACGTTTTAATTAAATTTATTTTTTTATAAAAACGCATTTTTAATGAAATAGCATTTTAAAACATATTTCCTAAATACGTTTTCAAGGAAAACGTATTTCGGAAATATGTTTTCTAAAACCATAAAATTGATTTTTAGGGTTTTGAAAAACGTATTTGCATAATACGTTTTATATTTATTATTTTTTATTCAAGTCGACTTTTTTAACGGAAATATTTTTTTTAAAGTTTTACAAAAATAATTTTAAAACGTATTCTCGGAATACGTTTCTCAAAGAAAAATTTACTAGAAAAAAGTATTCCGAGAATACGTCTTTTTTATTTTTGTCCACACCTTTTTGTTTTTTATT